CAGATGAGCGAGAGGTTGATGTAAGCAGTTTTTAAAAAAAAATGGTATACTGCACTGCAAATATATTTTATAATTATAATATTAGAGTATAATTAATGACTGTAAGTCCTTCTCAAAATTAAAGATTAAGCTTCTTGTCTAAATACTATAATCGTCGGTATATGACAACATAATTATTTTTGATAAATTTTGAATTGGATTTTCTTAGTGACATAATAAAAGAAAAAAAGCCAGGAAAAACTCTTACCTTAATTGATTAGTTCATTTTATTTATAAAGTTGTATTTCTACTACAATTTTTCTTTAAAAATTAATTCTCATCCCAACTATGGCGTAAGCCACACGTGACATTTATTTTGAAGATAGACCAGAATCTATTTTCTTTTATGTCAAAATATGCTTGATTCAACTCCAAGAAATTATAAATAAGTTAATAATTCTTTCTAGATTCTTATGTTCTTCGTGAATGAAACAAGATTCTTTTTTACTATTGAGCTTCAGACTAGAGTCTTTTATTCTGTTCAATGTAAAATAATCTTGACGCAACGACCAAGAAAAACAACAACTTGAAAACAAAAGATCCAAAGAACGTCGATTAGTATGAACTATATATGAATATTTCACATTAGATAAGCAAATTAAAAAATCGAAATAGCTTGAATGATCGAATTAAGATTAGTTCTCGAATTCAATTACATAGACTACTCGACTATAATAAGAAAAGAAATTATGTAAATTTCACGAAAGAAAAATCTAAAGCATAGAATTTGATCTAAAAAACCGAATGATGTTATTAGTGTCATAATATATTACAAAATAATTTTTTTTTCTCAAGCCTCCGTGTAAATTGAATTTGATTATCAAATTAGGAAACGAAAATAGTTGAGATCATCACATTAGGAATGAAAAAGAACAATCAATTTTTAACACTATATGTTTTTTTGTCACGATTGCTGTTCACCAACGAACAATTAGTTTTGAATAGAAATTAGATGAAAAGACTGAACAGATGTTGTCGAGAAAATCATGAGTTATTTTCTAAAAAGATAAAATCTTATGATTGTAAAAGAACGAGAAACTCGAAAAATCTTTTGAAATCGACGAATACTAACTGACCTCTTTCCTATTACGGAGACGAACTGTAACTGTTACATTACATTAAGAGTAGTTTTGTACAGCCTATGTTAACCTTTAATAACTATATATGGTTTCTCCATAATTTTTCATGTCATATCTCGACTTTCTTTCTTTAGTATGTACGACAAGAATAATTAACGATCGCGCAAGTAATAGCTTAAAAGAAAACACAAAAAGATTTATTATCTCATACAATTTAAGCATATTCGGTAAGATATTTATTAAAATTCTATAGAATAATTTTTTTTTAATCAAATTTGTTTTTACTAGTAAAATATTGTTATGTATAAATTGAATGTTGAACTTATTCAAAATGTAAGATCAATAAATATTTGATTGATGTACATAACACTTTGTATCCTTGGAAAAGTAAGGCTTTTCTATTATGTTGTCAGATGAAAAAATAATTTAATCAGTGATTGTTAAAATTATCCAACAAATAGATAATTTCAGTTCAATCTATTGATTTATTTAATTTTTATTGACGATACAATCACAGCATGTCGTTTTCCATCCTTTCAAAATTATCCAATGACTTATTTTTGCAGACTATTGTCCGTCTATTGTAAGTCGAAGTTTTCTTTATAATACATTATTCAATCGAACAAATTGTTTTCGACATAATAAGTACTTTTTATTGTGACTTTTCTTTGAATAATGGTTAAAAAACAATGGTTGTTTTTTCACCCATGCCGGAAATTATCGACGAAAAGATGATAAAAGACCTTTTTTCTTCATATGATGTTTACTCTATTTTATTGTTCAATATATCAATAGCAAGAGTACTACAAAAAGCATGACTTAGTCTATTTGAATAGATATGTTACGTTGAAAAATTGTGCCGATTGCCGTCTATGTATGCACCAATGACAGATAGACTCTTCTTGTATAGTCTCATTCATGCATGCATTGAAGAAGATATGAAAAATTGTTCTAACATTGTGGATTTCTAGGAACTCTTTTTTTCATATAAAACTAATTATATACGTTTGTTACGTTATAAATAGAAGGAGTAAGAAAAGCTTATTGGAGCTCCAGGATCATATTACATATGTACCTCACGAAACATAGATATATCAAATGAAACTTAACATAACGTGTTCTGCTAAATTTTATCTTCTATCTATATGGACGTGACGTACAAAAGTTGGCCGTATATTTAATGAGATGTGTACTTAAGCTGTTTTGGGAATACGGTAAGCTTTTTAATTATGATATTTATAATGTAACAAGGGTATGTAATCAGTTTTTTATGAAAACAAATTCACACAAATCCACGCTTTTAAAACAATTTTTCATACTTTCTTGATACGTATGAATGAGATCGTACAAGAAGGCCTCTCTGTGATAGATGTATACATAGGAGAACATCAGCACAATTTTCTAATATGAAATATCTATTGAGATAGAATAATTCGTACAATTTGTAGCACTCTTGCTACTGATATATTGAACAATCATATTGTTTAAACATCATATGAAAAAAAAATTTCTTTTGACCCTTTGTTATTGAAAAATTTCTGGCAAAGGTCAAAGAGAAATATTTTTTTTAACCCTCATTCAAATAAAAATCACTAGAGAAGAGTACTCATGAGGTAGAGTACAATTTTTTTTTCTATTGATTAATGTATTATAAAGAAAATTTCAACCTACAAGAAGCTCGCAACAGCTTGCAAAAATAAGTAGTTGGTTAATTTTGAAAAGATGAAGAACAGCATACTGTGATGATATTGTTAATAAAAAATATACTAGAAAGACTATGGGCTGTAATATAACGAAAATTCGATCACTCTAGCTCAACTAGTTTTAGAGATATATACAAAATGAAATAAAACTGTCTATTGTTTGGATAATTTTGATAAACACTGCATGTATGACAAAGACATTTTCCATCAATATGCAATACTTTTTCGTTTATCAATATTATTTTTATCTTGATTGAGAAAAATTTATTTTAAGCTTTTCTCTTAGTTCGCTATTTGAGTTTATCTACTTCATTTCAAATGACTCTTCACAATAATTAGTACTAAATAATAAACGTTATGTTTTGTTCAATACTAGTCATCATAAAAATAGGCGTTTGAAGTATTGTATGAATATAATTTACAAAAGATGTATGGCAATGACATTCTTTTGACTGTTATTATTACTTGAATAAAAAGCGAATGAGGAAGAGCAGTATCAGATGTTATTATCTTTTCTTTAACTTGAGATGAGAGCAGTCATATAGTTCTATTAACGTCTTATTACGTATCACTATATTTCAATAGATCATTTCATAAGTATATAGGTCATTTTGATTTTTATTGTTCTTCAAAACTTTCAAATCATATAAAGTCAATTAGTGCCATTGATGAAGGTAATACGGTGATTTGCTTTGACAGGTGTGTCTCTAAATGTGACGCTTGGGAGTGTTTCATTTTCTTTTAACGCAAAAATATAACGAGCTTATACTTAGGAAATATTTTTCAAGAGATTGTAAGGTCAGCCTATGAAACGTTAACTGAATTAATATTCTTAGAATAGCATGAAATGAATTTCTTGACGTTGATATTTCGAGTTAATAATGTTGAAAATAATAATACAAACAGTTGCGATACAAATTATATAAACAATCTTTTAGTTCGAGTTAAGTGACAAAGAATTAAGACGAATAATCATGATTTTCTTCTTATAATTACGGCATGGATGAAATTGTTGCCCAATATAATTTGTTAAATATTGACTTACTATATTTAGATATCAACAGTTATGACAGTCGAATTGAATGCACGTGCAGTTGACGTAGATTACTAATCTTAAATCATCTGCTGTAGTAACCTATAATGCTATTCATATTCTTCTTCTTGCTACACAGCTTTTACCAAGTCGAACGTATAAAAAATTTTTATGGATTAATATAAAAAATTTTTATGGATTAATATAAAAAATTTACTATTATTTTTATATCGAAAGCTAAGTTCAATTTTCTCTTCCAGATATTTTCTACTTTTAATGCGGTATGTTCCAGTCTCAAGGACGATCGTAAATCTTTTTAAAGATGATTAATGACAACATTATATGACATGCCGATATAAAATTTGTCTCTTTTATGAGTTTTTTTCACTTTCGTTCTACAAATTGACGTCATTGCATTTCTTTCATATACACACTATAGATGTAGTGAATGACAAATAGTTTACTTCCGTTAGACTACATACTTAGAAAATAAACCAGCATCATTAGAAATACAGGATGTGAACATAACAAGATGTATAGAATTATCTGGAGAAATCATTTTCTCGAGAAGACAAGAAATTAATAGCGTTCAGTAGGCCTATCAGACCAAGATTCATGTAAAAGAAAAGGTAGCTAGTACTTGCCGATTACTATTGAAATTTACCTCAGTTCTTCAATATTACTCTCTAATAGAATTATTTATAACTTTATTATATATATATATCTGTTATATATCACTAAATGTCGCACAGTTCATGTCTAAGAATTTCCATTAAAAGAATAAGATTTTTCTATTATGGAGAAACTTTTTGTTTGAATTGCTCAATGTTTACTCTCATATAGCATATGTATTAGAAGTAAAAATGAGTTCTAACTTAAAACTACCATCTTAGCGTTAACTGTTCCATATGTAAAATAATGCCGAAGCAATGAGACTTAATTTCAATACTAACATCAATCTGTTTTGACATTCTTAATGTTAACAAAGAAAACAAAATGTTTATCGATTATATTTTCCAGATGTTTTGCAAGTATTATTATCTGTTAACTTTGATATTATCATAAATTCTGTTGTTAATTATCTATTGAATGTTTCTTTTTTCTAGATATTTTAATTGTTTAAATAAGTTTTCAATCATATAATAAATGATGAATTTAACAGATAATACAACTTCAAGAGTGACAAGTCTTTTTGATTATAAATTACAATTAGTTGAACAAATTATTTTAGGAAGTATATTTATTGTTGCATTAATTTTTAATACACTTGTATTGATGATTATGTTAATTAAACGACATCGACGTATGACAAGGATGGCTTTTTTTATTTTAAATCTTACAATAGCTGATTTATTAGTCGCATTTTTTAGTGTTTTACCTATGCTTATATGGAAATCAACAATAACATTTTTCGGTGGAGATTTTCTATGTCGCATTGTTGCTTTTCTTATGTTAGCTGTAACATATATCTCAGTTTACACGTAAGTTATGTTACATTTTTTTTTCTATTCAAATATAAATAAATATTCGAGAATATTATTTTCTAAGAGTAATAAGCATCTCACATGAGATACAACATGCTCTTGACGAGAGCCGTGTCAAGATAATCTTATGGTACTAGAAATATAAGAAAATGATATTTGTTGAACAAATAGTTATGATCAATGTTCATGAAAAACAGAGTTTTTTTGTAAGCAGATATACACTTATATCGGTCAATCAGCTTTCGTCATTTCATGATTTTATAACCAGTGTAAAGATAAAACCGCATATACTAAAAATAACTTCAAATAAAGATAAAGCTAATTCTTATTTACAAGATGAGATATATCCGACCCCTGGGTGGTATTCGTGTCACAATGAAAGAATTTCAGTGGATCTAGGAATACCTACTGGGATGCATTATAATAAGGCTCATAAAGTTTGACAGATTTGTTGCACACAATGGGGAAAGACTTCGTTTTGTAGTCAAGCATCTTTGGGTGTTATGAACATAATTAAGCTTTAGTTTATTTTTAAAGTGTTTAGAAACCAGTATGGTGTCGAAATCAATTAGAATAGTATTAGCGTACATTTGTTTTATAAATAACATAAAAGAGACTAAAAAAAAACCACTGACTAGTATAGTAATAGTTTTGGACCTATTGAAAAATATTCACGTAAGACCAAATGAATAAACTTTCATCTGAAACTGAATTTATTCAGATGGTTTTTGTAACAAAAAACAATGATTTAAATGATCATAATCTTCAGAATGAATTGATTTTTAAGAAGTTTTTAGAGTACATTAGAAATTGTGTTCTTTTTGAATATGAATTTCGAAATTTCGACTCAGTTTTTGTTCGAAAGTAATGAAATAATCCTTGAAAAGCGGAAAAAATTAATTTGGATTAAGAATTTTTCTTTTTTGTATTTCCACTGTGACGATTCGAAATTAAAAATTAGCATCCTTATTTATATATCAACCTATCAATTAGAAGCAATCCTATAAAATGCACTATTTGAAGTTTTTTGTCTTTCGGCAAAGCATCTTAATTTTCATTTTTTCCTAAATACTCATTTTTGAAATGCCGACCACCATTTTACATTAAAAGAAGCTCTTAAAAAAATCCTTGTATTCTCACTTGGATAAAAGCTACAGCTTAGTGAAATGTCGCATTTTGTAGAGAAGTGTTCGAAGTATAAAATAACCGGCAACTTCTTGTCTAAAAATTTTCTGATCACTGGTTTGATCATAGCAAATCAAAAAAAATACGCCTCTTGAATTTTTCTAGAACTCAAATCAGTACGCGTCGAACTTTCACTTTAAAATGTCAAATTCATTGCCTATTTTTGTTTTTTCTTATAGTCTTGTTGTAATGGCCAATGATCGTTATCAAGCTATAGTTCATCCACTTTCAACTTATACATGGACACCTCGTACAGGTCTTATGCATATGGCAGGTGTATGGTGTTTAAGTCTTTTATTAGCATCTCCACAATTATTTATTTTTCGTTTGGCTCAGCATCCAGCATATGGAAAGAAAACATGTATGGCGAATTTTTTAGGACCTAATCGTGCATGGGAATTAATTTATATAACATGGACAATAATTCTACAATTTATTTTACCAATATGTATATTAATATTTTGCTATACATCTGTATATATAATAGTTAATAGAAATTTTTCAATGTATCGAACATCAGATAATTCAAAAAGAAAAAATATTCCAAATTCACTATCGAATAGAACAGGAAAACTTTTTGACGGTGTTTCAACATCAACAACAATAATTGACACAAAAACAAAAAACCTTTTAAATAATCATAAACATTTTGATCATCCATCAGTTAAATGTGCAAATGTAACAAATGAAACACTTTCAAATGAATCTTCATTACATAATGTGCATGATCTGATGTATCCAGTTGTATTTCGTCTTCGACGTTCACATATTGATTTAACAAAAGCTCAAATGATAACTACCATCGATGGGCAACAATTGCAGCAACGTTGTGGTGCTAATCATTTTTTATCACGAGCTCGTCTTAAAACAATTAAATTAACATTTATTGTTGTTCTTACTTATATTCTTTGTTCAACACCATTTTATATTGGATCAATTATAATGGCATTACATGAAAAATTTATTTCACAAAAAACAATGAGTATGAAAAAAAAATCATTTTGTTACATTTTCAGTTTTTTTTTTGTATATAATCTTTTAGATTGGCTGATGACTATATTTAGTCTTTTATTTAATTTAAATAGTTGCTCAAATCCAATAATATGGCTTACACTTAGTGGTTCTCTACTTCGGTGAGTCTTAGTTTCACTGGATCGAAATATTTGTTAATAATATGACGAAAGAGAAATCTTATATTTTTGAGTGTAATGTTGACAAACTTCAGAATGGAAGATCATCTGATCGTTCGAAGTCTTGAGATTCATTTTTATACTTCAAATCAAAAATACTAACTAGGGCTAGAAAATAATACTAATTAGATAGTAGTTGTAAATGATTTGCTCGAGATGAGTTCGTAGCTAAGTAACCGTCATATTGTAAGTACGTGAAGAATTGCGTTCATTTTTTTTCTATTTTTTATTTTTAGATTTAAGAAAAATAGTTCACAACGGCCGACACCATCATCACTAAAGAAGCCAATAAACAGTTCTAATAAAGTTAAAAGGAGTTCATCTAAACTTTTTGAACAGTTGTAAAAGTTTTTTTTTTGTTGTTGTGCAGTCTTAGCCGTAAATATATTAGTGTAAGATATTTCGAATAAAAGCAAGCTATTATACAACATTTAATACAGAGCAGATTTATAACATGTCAATAATTCAAAATCGAAAAGACTCTTTTTTATAACGTTTTTACATGATTAAATAAAGCTTAACAAACTCAATATGAATATCCGTATAAAATCTAATTCAAAGTTTTTCATTGAAAGAAATTTAAGTGGACGTCTTTGAATCCTTAATTCATTGTAGATACTCGTCGTGACTGGTATTTTCATAATAGAGGCTGAAATGGACAGGGCAAGATTAATTAGCATATTGCATATATTCGTTACCATGAGTTTGGCTGCTGTTGAAAGAAAGTTTTCGGCAGTAGATCAAGTTGTCAACCAACGAAGATCTAATTTACACTTGAACACTACTTTTAGATCGTTTTTCACAAAAAAATAGTTGAATCTTCAGATTCTAGTCATTAAAATTTGATTTTTGTGGAAAATAAGCATCATTTAGGAAATCACGGCTCAAAAATACGTTGAAATCTCACTATCTTACGATGAAATATTTACCAAAAGAAAATTTAGGGATTTCGACGTATTTTCAAGTTGTGAGTTCAAAGATTTTATTTATATTGCATAAAATAGTAATTCTTAGTGCCGAAAATCTCAAGAACGACCTAATTCCTTTGATTCATTGCCTGAAATATGTTTTTTTTTCAACAGTAAATAACTATGTTTTAAAAAATGACGCATAAATTTTTTCTAGCATTAAGGGCGGACCCCCTAAGAAAATCGATTTTTAGATAAGCACATACACTGAAAGCCCAAAGTGTCCCCTTTCAGATTATGTATGATTTGTTGCATTTTGAAAGGTTTTGAGTGGTGAAAATATAAGGTTTTATCAGAAATTTTTTTAGTTAGGGAGATGTAACAGTGGTCAACAAACTTGTAGATTTTGGTTAAAGAAAAACACTTATACGTTCTGTTACATTAATTAATTAGAGGAACGTAGTCATTTCTGCTTAAAATCCAGTATACATGATGAAATTGCCGTATAGAGGTCGTGACAGTCATAATGAAATTAATAATTGTTTCATACAAACTTGTTGATTGGTTTTCTCTAATCACTTTTTTGGAGAGCTCGGAACCGATTTCTTAGNACAAAAGGCTGATCTTCCTAACTTGTTCTATTGAAGAGTTATAGAAGTTTTCATGAGATCCCTGATTTCAGCTATTGAACTTTGGATCACCCTGAAAGGCATCCACTGTAGAGTAATTCATTATGCTGAGTCGAATGGTGATATTTGTTTTTGGATTCAGAAGTACCTCACACCATCATTTTACAATTTTTACGAAATGTCATCTCATTCGATACATAGCAGCAGATTGGGAAATTTCGGAAAATTGTAAAATGATGGTGTGAAATACTTCTGAATCGAAAAACAAACACCACCATTTGATTCAGTATAATGAATTACTCTACAGTGGATGCCGTTCAGGGTGATCCAAAGTTCAATAGCTGAAATCAGGGATCTCATAAAAACTTCTATAACTCTTCAATAGAACAAGTTAGGAAGATCAGCCTTTTGTAGATGGAAAGAGAACAATTTTTTCTATTGAATGCTCAAATTAACAGTACAGAGAAATCGAGAAGTAGTTCTATACAATCCTTTTCAGATGTCTGCCGAGAAAAATCCGGATTGATCTATTGTAAACCAATCAGGTTTCGGTACTGATTTATGTCCCTGAGTTTCCCTTCTTCATGGTGAAAGCCTCAGCTCTCTATCTTATCGCTATCAAAAGTTATTCGAAAAGTACCAACCTGTCTTTTATTTTGAAATGGATAGTAGTCCACATAATTCACTGCAAATCACTTGTTTTTTTCTTCATTTTTCTTTCTCATATACTTTATCTCTATTTTTCGCAATCCGATGTATTTCATTTTGAAAATGTTCTCTATTGCTGTTTTTTTCGATTGTATTCTGTGTTCTCTTTTCTTTCAAAATCTTATCAACATATTTTCTTTTGATTTGTAAACTATACTTCATTTTCTTCGTCAATGGTACCATGTGCTTTATTTCTTTCATCGGTTATCTCATTTATATGATTGTTCTCCATTATTTATAAAATTATTTATAATTTTTCATATGTTTTATATAAAATATAATTTTCTTATTCTAAATAAATAAATTTTGGATTCGAAAAATTCTTCATTTTCTTACGGGGCTATTCATTGTCATCTACTAGCTTCCTATCCAGCAGAATATTATGTTTCAATGAATAGGTATTTAATAAAACTAGCGAAGACATTTGACAATTGATCTAAATGTTTTTAATGAAGCACTACTCTCAACCAACCACGTCAGCAACATAATTGTGGCGCCATCTATTGTTTTATACTAGACATAGCCACTTTTTCATGAAAAACCAAGAACACAGTTCGACACAGAAAAATTTTCTCTAAAAACTGAGACATTCCTTATATCGGGCCCCTCTCAAAAACATAAAGCACCAATCCATGAACATTTGTTATTGTTTCACTTTTCTCGTTGTACTTTTTCGAGCGAGAGTCCGTACCATTAGGATAAGTTAAGTTAGACAATTCCATCAATAAAAATATGAATAAAATAAACTATCATTCTGGTGAATTTGAATATGGTATTCGAATATATTACTATGCATCTTGATGTATTGTATATAACTATCGTCTGTTAAATGAAATAGTGGCCGTGGACATTTTTGCAATAACTCAAGAACGGAAAGAGTTAGAGAGTTACAATTTTCATCAGCCGAAAGAGACGACACCGAGGTGTCTTTTTCTCCAATATTGTATAAGACGAAATCATTTTAAAATCAATTATTTCTGCAAAATAGTGCAAAAAATACATGAAAACACTCTGTCATTTAGATGAATTTTTGCTTCTGATATGTGATTTAGATAGAGAGACTTCAAGTCTATAGTTAAAGATATAATTCAAATGGTTATCTTCATACATCCTAATGTTAAGCAAATCACATTGTCTATCTACTCCCGAAATATGAATTTCTCTTCATTTTTAAGAGACAATTCGCAACAAAATCGAGCATTCTGCCACAGAGACCTAACATGGTCAAATTTTAGATTTGGTTCATTCTATGCTCAATCGATAGAGCATCTCGAGAAGCCTATAAATCTAAAGTTTCATAAGTTTTCGATTTTCTCTTCTTGAGTTAGATGATGTCGAAGTTTACTCGAACGGGAAAAATGAGAGGTCTCATCTTCAAGTCCGCCGCCAGCCATTTTAAGACCGATAATTTTGAAGGGTGTGGGTGTGGGTGTGGGTGTGGGTGTGGGTGTGGGTGTGGGTGTGGGTGTGGGTGTGGGTGTGGGTGAAGCTGTACTTATATCCGGCATTTATACCCATACCTTCGAAGTCGATGAATTGTGTTGCACGATCAGATATATATTTATTGAACATTGTTAGCCAAAAATTATTAAATTTTTAATCATTCGTGTGTATTCCGAACCAACCAGCATAGAATTAGCTGTTGTTGTGTATGAATGATAATTGAAGGTAATTCACAAGAAATTGCATGAATTATTGCATATTAATTCGATTCATCTAGCAAACATGTTATTTGGCCATGTAGACAACAAAGTATCTACTTCGAAATACGAATCGAAGAAATAATAAATAATGAATAAATGAATTTCGACAAGTGATGAAGGTCGAATTCAAATGAAATTCTGTCCATTAACAGGATGCACATCTTCTGCGGTTCAATACTAATCATTTGCAAAGATAGTATCTTACTTAGAATAGAAGCAATTTCGTCTAGTGATCAATGTATATTTATCAAACGTAATTCAAAATCTTTTAAATGAACAAGAGATGATCCGTTAGTTAATGTCGATTTTGAAGTAGCTGATAATTGGTGAAAGTTAATATGTAAATGATTAATATGTGGTATAAGTATGAATAGACATTCTAACATTTTATTTGTTTTTAAATTTATTATTAACTCTTCGATGTTCGGACAAGAAACAACTTCGATATTTCTAGTCGCAATCAAAGTAAACCTGATTAAATCATAATCGAATAATACGAATTTCAGTCGATTATCGTTAACTGATAGAATTTTTTTCCAATGATCCTTCTTTATGTTCATTTCAAAGATTTATAATATGAAATTTGACAAGTTGCAAAAGATCTTGGGTGTGGATGTGGGCGCACCTCTCTTCTTCTCTTTATCCACATCTACATCCACATACCCACACCCACACCCCATCCATACCCAAAACTAAACAACAGAGAAAAGCAATGGGAACGAGTCAAAGCAAGAATAAATACTATTCAATTGGATAAAACAGGAATGATTATGAAGCAGAAATGAAACAATCGATGAGATCGAAAGCTGCACGCGATTGGTCGTAGGGAACCGAGTGACCAGCATTACGGACCTAGGCTACAAAAAAAGAATGTGCTCGTTTTAGATAACCAGTTATCTCTCGACCGTCTTCTTTCACTTTCCAAACGATGCGTTCAGCATCATACAACTGATCGGCATGGTTCCATTCGAGTTTATCAATCCAATTCATCGTCACTGAGGAGGAAATAATGACACCAACTAATCCATTGTAAATCAATACTTTATAATTATTGTTGGCAATCACTGCTACTTTGCTTGCAATTGAATGCATAACATCATCTTGAAGACCGATTTGTACTTTTTCACCATCATTATATGTCATATTTCCTACATGAATTTGACGACGATGTTCACTTGCTGTCACCCAAGGAATGTAGTAGAAAAGTTCCTCAGGAAAATCAGTGCGAAGATAATTGTCAGCATCAATCATACCGGCCTTGTTTGGACAGAAATTATCGAAAAGATCACCAAAAATAGAGTAAGCTTGTCTATATTGACCTTGCTGAATGGCTTCACGTGCCAATGCTGTCAACAAGTTGAGATATTCTAGTTGTAGTTGATCAATCAGACCCATTTGATACATTGCTGGTCCATAATCCCATTGATTGTAAGCATCAATCAAATCATCGCCGACGGCCATTCCTTTCAGATTAATTTTCAATTTAGCTTGAGGATGTTCTGTATGAATTCTGTAGACAATGGCTGGTGCATATTTGCCACCATAGGACTCACCAGTGGCATAGAAATCACATGAGGCATATTCGTAATAGATTTGAAAGAATTGAATTAACATCCCGTAGAGATCGCGTGTTACTTCATCTTCAGTATGCACATAGCATTGATCGTCGGTAGTAAAACTAAAACCAGTGCCAACTGGTTGATCGATAAAGAGAAGATGATATTTAGAATTCCAAGTGATATTACTCGAATGAAGTTGTCCAGCTTTGTCCACTTGAATAGGACCATGTTCGGAGAAAAGACCGAAGAGAGATGATTCACCAGGTCCACCTTGTAACCAAACAAGCGACAGTGGATGCATCCACAGAAGCAATTTTCAGGTAGAGGAAAGAAAGGCGGTTCGATTCGCCATAGCGGTCTAGTCATGGACCAGGGAGTGACTAAAGACAACTAGAGTGTTGATGTGGATAAAGCTGTTTTTGTCCTCTTGATCACACAATCACACTCCAACCTGTCTCATATTTTTATCTTTTTATTACTTTCAGAAACTACTAATCAGGGATGTGGGTGTTAAATTTAGCATTGTCTTTAACTATACCCACACCCTTAAGTTTTGAATATGATTTATTTGAAAACTAGAACTGATCTTCATCTATATACTATTTTTGTTCATTCAAATTGATAAGAATATTGACAATTGGTTCGTCTTTATCACCTTTAAATAGACATGATAAATCATCATCTTTCTTCTTCCATACTCATTCTGCTGGATCGACAATTCTTAATTCTTTTCCATTCATTTTTTTTAACATAGATATGACGTGTTGCTGGATGACATGTTTGTATAAATGCATATTGAAATCATCTAATATTGCGCGCATGATTACATACATGAGCACGTAAGCATGTGTAGATCGTGTTGCAGCAGATAAAAGAAATAAAACTGCATTCGGCTTTAATTCTTGATCGAAATCAAAATGAACAAATTTATCGATCATTTCGGTAAATAAAACTATCGTTGGATGATTTGATACAGGATTAAAAATCTCAAATCGGCGTTTTCCGTAATATGAAAAGAGATCATTGGTTATGATTGCTGCGACAATTTCATTCGTTGGACGGACTCGTATACAAAATGATAATTTTTCATCAGGTACATCGAGCACTGACGGACAAATGCATTGAGCAAAAAACTCCTCAGCTGCTATCGGAATAAAAGTTACCAAAGGATTGTATGAAGCAAATTGTCGATAAAAGCAATTTCATATTCTTCGTTACTAGGGTGTGGGTGTGGGTGTGGATGTGGGCGTGGGTGTGCGTGTGGGGGCGGGTGTGCCTGTGGGTGTAGGTGGATGCGTGTGTGCGGGTGTGGATGTGGCTGTGGGCGTGGGTGTGGGTGTGGCTGTGGGGTGTGGGTGTGGGTGTGCGTGTGGGTATGGGTGTGGATGTGGGTGTCGGTCTGGGTGCGGGTGTGGATGTGGGTGTGGGTGAGGGTGTGGGTGTGGATGTGGGTGTGGGTGAGGGTGGGGGTGGCTGTGGTTGTGGGGATGGGGGGGCAGGGGGGGCTGCGCGCGGCCGGAGGCGGGGGCGCCGGCGGCGGGGGGGGGCCGCGCGGCCGGC